TACTTGCATACATTTTGTATTGGTATCACTTGAGAGATGTAAAAGAAGGTGATGATAATGGAACTTACATTTAAATATATTTTCATGAAACATTATTTTCAATTTCATCGTTTTTTTCCCTACCAATTATACTGTTTTAAAATTTCTTGAACAATATTAGTTTGACAGGTCATAAACGTGTTTTATTCGTGTTGGCCCGTCACGACACGTTTAATAATCGTGTTCGCGTGTCGTGTCGTGTTAATCGTGTTATTAACGGTTCGTGTTCGTGTTTGAATTTTTGACACGTTTATTAATCGTGTCGTGTTCGTGCTCACTGTAATCGTGTCGTGCCGTAATCGTGTCGGCCCGAACACGGCCCGCGAACACGAATTGCCAGGCCTACTTACTGCAAGGGGCATAAACACATCATGAAAAAGAGGGTATTAACGGAACGACCGTTTAATTCATTAATTTGAGTTTTTAATTTAAATTGAGATGTATATTTCGGGCCTGTTTAGTTCATTGATTCGAGTTGAGATGTGACTTTATGTGAGAGCTTTTTACTGTAGTAAAAAAGTTAGATGTGATTGTTTGTGAGAGCTTTTTACTGTAGAAAAACTCAAATTCTAAACTCGAATCAGCGAAATGAACAGGACCTTCGTTTATTTTACCGATTCGAGTTTTGTTATAGTAAAAAACTCTCACATAAAAGTCACATATCAACTCGAATCAACAAATTAAACGGGCACGTAATTTTAGGTGAGAGCTTTTTTACTGTAGTAAAAAAGTTAGATGTGACTATTTTTTAGAGCCTTTTTATTATAGTAAAAAAATTAGATGTGACTGTTTCTGAGAGCTTTTTACTGTAGCAAAATTCGAATTCTAAACTTGAATCGGTGAAATGAACGGGATAAGGGCATTGTTTATTTCACCGATTTAAGTTTAAAATTCGAGTTTTGCTACAGTACAAAATTCTTAAAAACAGTCACATTTAACTTTTTTACTACAGTAAAAAAATTCTTAAATAAAATTACATCTTAATTTAAATTAATGAATTAAACCGGCTAATAAGAATTGTACATTCCAAATTTATTAAGAAATATATCATCGTGGCAAGAGAAAATGTAAGCTAGTTACACAGATAGTTGTGATGCTTTCTTGCTTTCTTTCTCTCTTTCTTTCTTTCTCTTTTTAAAATTGATTGACATTTTGCATAGTACAGATCCTTCTCCAACCGACGCACGCCAATATGGCGTGGAAAAGCATGACTCGTGTTGGAGAATAATTCCAACGGAGTTATTTTATGATGATATTTATTTTATCGATTTGAGTTTAAAATTTGAGTTTTATTATAGTAAAAAAATTTTCATAAACAGTTATATTTAACTTTTCTATTATAGTAAAATGCGCTCATATAAAGTCACATCTAACGCTATTTTAACATGAATTCAGCTAGGGTGAACAGTATCATTTTTTAAATTTTTATTTTGTAATTTTGCTTTTAATTAGTAAAAAGGAATATAAAAAGGGAGATAAAAATGAATATACATGGAACATTCTTTTTGGTGTTAAAAATAGTGTAATGTGTAGGAGATTAATTCACTGTTAATGTGAAAGTTACACCGTTATGAGTTGGAAATGCTCGTAGAAAGATAGTTAGAGAGTAATATTGTTTAGGAGCTTTTTACTTCACGATATTAATGGCATGTTTATCTACGTGTAATCAGAATGAGCATGAATCAGAGTAGGCAAGATTTGGAGTGGGTAGGATTCGGAGTGAGGAATCAGAATCAGAATAAGTTGTTTACTTAATGATAAGATTCGGAATCGGAGTCATTCCAAATCTCATTCATACGTTTACTTACACCCATAATCGGAATAAAAAAGTGTAAAAGTATTAATATACCATTTAAATCAATTTGATATTTTCAATTTAAAAAATATATTGTGTACTTATTATATTAAAATTAATCATAATTAAAATATTTAGTGTAATAATTGGGTACTAAAATAATAAATATAAATTGTACAACTATTTAAAATATACAAATAAATTTTAAAAAAATTTAAATAAAATAAATAAAAATAAAAAATAGTGTTAAAAAATAAAATATATTATTACTTTATTAAAAAATAAAGTACATATTTAATATATTAAAGTTAACAATAATTATGCTAATATTATAATATTAGACAAATAAAATAATAAATATATGTTGCATTTATTATTTTTTGAATTTTATTTTTAATTATGTATTTATAAGTAAAATAAGAGTATAATAGTAAATTGATATTAATATTATGAATGAGAGTCTCAATCCAAGGGGGGCATGAGAATGCCAATCCCATCCCTCAATCCCAAATTTGAGTGGGACCCACCAATCTCACTCTCATTTCAGGATAAAAAAGAGCAAGTAAACATGGGATTGACTCCCATTCCCCACTCCCATTCTTCAATCCCGGTAAGTAAACATGTCAAGAGCAGCGCATGATTTCAAGTATAATCAAAATTGTATTAAAATAACAAAAACATGTAAAATCTATTAAGTGCCCGTTACGGGTTTACAACCCATGGCTCCGGTTTGATTGTTAAAATTTTGAACCAAAAATGTAGTTGAGAACCCGTGCGAACTTAAAATTTTGGGTCTCGGAGAAATTAACTAGATATTTAGTTAATTCAAAATTCTCACACAAACTAAATACTAGTTCAAATTTTTATTTTTTTTGATGTAATATTTTATTTATTATTTAAAATTTACACTTCTATACATTAGTTTGAATCATAATAAACTCAAATAAGTTAAAAACCACGTAATTCGAAACCCTGAAGGGAACATATTCAAAATTTTAGCGGTTTAAAATAAAACTAAACATAAAAGTTTTTTTTTTTTTTTTTTTATTTTCTACGAGAATTTTCCTACTATTTGTTATTATTTGTGATTATAAGAACACAAAAAATTAATTGTATATGACACACTCGTATGTATATAGAGGTGAAAGTTTGAGCCAAGTCAAATTGTTCGGTTGAGACTCGATTCTGTTGGCCCGACCCCAGCCCACTTAAGTGTTTGGGTTGGCCGAAGTTTTGAGCCCAAAACTTTATCTGGCCAGCCTAAATGCTTTTTTTTTAAGAATTTTTCTTAAAAATACCTTATGAATTTCAGGTCGGCTGGACTTGACCTAGACAAGTTGAGCTTTAGGATCAACATGGTCCAAAATTCCTATTCTGATGGGACCGGACCGGCCCAAACTTTCACAAATACTCATATGCCATTGTTTTTTTTTTTTTTGTGATTAAAAGATAGAGCTCATTTAGTTATCTCATTTGAATTTTTAATTTAAATTGAGTTATAATTTTATGTGAGAATTTTTTACTATAATAAAAAAATTAAATACAATTATTTATAAAAATTTTTTACTGTATTAAAACTTAAATTTTAAACTCGAATATGTGAAATAAACGGAACGTAATTACATATGTAATTGTTAAACATCAATCTCTAGGATTAACAAACTAACAGTGATAATAAAGTGATAATCAACTCTTTTCCAAGTTAAAATCCATTACTGTAATTCACCGGGATACGTGTCTGATTGGAGGACTGTGATAGTCCAATTTGAAAATCAATCAGGAAAGCACGGCAAAGCAAAGGCATTCTTTCCACGTTGGCGGGCCCACTTTGCCTTTTCCCATCAACTTCACTCGCGTCCTAAGCGCGTAAGCACTCCAACAATTTATAACAACCGACCGCAAAGTTGCAGTTAATTTCCTCTTTTATTATAATAATAAAAAATTGTTTAAAATTTTAAAATTGTTGTTTTTGTATTATTATTGGTCAAGAAGGGGATGCTGGTGTGTGACGAAACGACGACGGACCACATTGAGAAACCGAAAGCTAAAATCAGCGGAAATGTCTTTTCACGGATTTCCCTTTTCGTCATTGATTTGTTTATTATTTCATGCTATTTTGACGTTGACTTATCTTTTGTCTAAATTACCCTTGCCCATGCATGGATTGGAGCATAATAATATCCATTTTTTTTTTTTGGTTTTTTGTTTTCTCAATCTTCTCTTCCCAAATCTTTGTCAAGATTGTGAGGAGTTTTAGGAAAATATGAATTCAGATATATAGATGGGTATTTTTTTTTTCCTATTTGATAATCCCTTTTCTCTATTCACTAAAAATAAAGAGACAATCCCTTTGCTCAATTTTGATTTGAAATTTGAATTTCTATTTGATTGGGTTTTGGAATAAAGAATAGGGAAAAAATCATAGAAAATAAAGATTAAACATGAACAATATATATTTATCTAATTTTGGATATTTGTAGAAAGTTTAAGACGTGGAAAAGTGCCAGCATTTTTGGTATTTTTGGGCGTCAAATGAAGTAATTGCAAGTTGACTTAAAAAAAATATGCTAGCAAAATAAATGAGTTGAAAAAATAGTAATAAACAAAAAAAAGGAATAAAAATGATACCGCTTGGTTTAAAGGATATTATAGACTTTTCACACTTAGTTTTAAGCACAGCAACAGCCAACATCATGGGCCCGTTCGGTTCGCTAATTCAAGTTGAGTTGTGAAGTTGTGTGAGAACTTTTTACTGTAGTAAAAAAGTTAGATGTGACTATTTCTGAGAGCTTTTTATTACAATAAAACTCGAATTCTAAACTCGAATCAACAAAAAAAAAAACGGGACCCATATCTCCAAAATCATCACTCTTCAAGGTTCTGTTTATTTATCAATTTGAGTTTTATTACATTAAAAATTCTTAAAAACAGTTATATTTAATTTTTTTATTATAATAAAAACTTTCATATAAAATTAAATCTCAAATAAAATTAAAAATTTAAATAATCGAATTACACGGCCTAAGCAAATCATAGAAATATTATTATAATAAACTTTTTACTTTAATCCGAAAACAAAACCAAACATTTGCACCTTTCTGTTTGTATGTTATTTTTAAGCAGCAAAAAACACTCCTTCATTTTCAATGTCCCTCTGAAACTCTCTGACACACACTTTCTCTCTCCTCGCTCTCCTCTCTCTTTCTCTCTCCTCTCTCTTTCTCTCTCTCCAATGTCTGTTGTGTCTCCAACGCTCAAAAGCAATCACCACCTCGATCTTCTTCACTGAAATTCTCTCTCTGTTTCTCTTTCCTCTTTTCTCTTTCTTTCTCTCTCCAGTCGGAGCTCAAACGGTGGGCAGCGGAGAATGAGAGCCTCCGCCGATTTCCCGATCTTGGCGTTGGCGGCGGCCGCCGTCGCGCTTGCGTCGCTCTCGGCGGTCGTCTGCGGCGCCGGGTTTCTCCTACTCGAGAGAACTTTTCCTCTGACTCACCGAGTCGAACTCGACTCGCTCAGAGCTCGCGACGACCTCCGCCACGCCAGAATTTTGCAAGGCGGCGTCGTCGACTTCCCCGTCCAAGGCTCCTCTGATCCGTACTATGTCGGGTAGTTTTATCGGTTTTTTTTTTACGGCTTCTTTTCGTTAAAAGTTGGTGGATTTTATTCGGTTCTTTTTTTTTTTAATAAGTTTTGAGTTCTGTAATTTCATTGTTCTGTTGCTAAGTTTGGCTTCTAAGAAACTGGAAAGGAAAAGAAAATTAAAAGCCTCTGTTGGTTTCTTTTTCTTGTTTTCTTTGCTGAAAATGGTTTCTTTTTTCTTTTCTTTACCTTGAAAAATAATTGGTTTTCCGTACTCAGAAATGTTCATAAATTTGCTATCTTTACTTGAAAATTATGCTTTTGTTTATTCTTATCTATGTGAAAATTTGGGGTTTTGACTATTTGCTCCTCGGGCATTCTTTCTGAATCAGGATCAGTGGATCTTTTGTGTATGTACCTTTTTCTTGATTCTCTCCTGTTCTTATATTTTTCCATTTTTTGAGAATTTTTTTTGGATATTATTATTAAACTTGTTATTTAATGATTGAATTTCAGGCTATATTTCACAAAAGTGAGATTGGGCTCTCCTCCAAGAGAATTTAACGTGCAGATTGACACGGGAAGTGACATCTTGTGGGTTAACTGTAATGCCTGCAACGATTGCCCCCAGACTAGTGGACTTGGAGTAGAATTCTTTTTCCTTTCTTGTTTATTATGTAAAACAAAATTTCATTTACGTACAAAGCAATTAAGAGCTTAAGTGGTTAAGTGGTGCTTATACGTGTCTCTCTTTGTGCAGATTAAGCTGAATTTCTTTGATACTACTAGCTCATCAACTGCTGGGCTGATCGCTTGCTCGGACCCGATTTGCTCTTCCTCGATATCATCGTCTACTCAATGCGCTTCCGACAGTAATCAGTGTGTTTATACATTTCAGTATGGAGATGGAAGCGGGACTTCGGGCCATTATCTAACTGATGCATTGTATTTTGACATGATTCTGGGGCAATCTTATATTGCTAACTCTTCTGCTCCCATTGTTTTTGGGTGAGTGGTTAAAAGTTTGTATAATTACTTGTGCATCTGAAAAGTTGAAAGCACTTGTAGGAGAAGGAGAAGATAAGGGTAAAAGAAGCAGAGAATAAGCTCAAGTTTATATATGGATTGTTTAAGTATATGTGTTCTTGCTGCAAATTGATAATGTGGTTTATGCATACTTGCTGGTAATTTCTTTTAACTGTCAAATCACCTAAAAATGGCCTTTCCAGTATCAGTCGAAACTTTATGAACAGTCCAGAATTTATTTGGCTATTGCTGCAGTTGTATTGCTTAGCCTGAAAAAATGTTATGGATTATGTTTCTGGAGTAGAGTAAATTTCATATTTCTTCAATTGTATTGCTTCAGACCTGCTGTTGGTTTCACAGTGAATATGTTGGCTGACGTGCATTTTGAATATGGTGGTTGAAGTTTACCCTGGATGGTTGTGTTGGAGACAGGTGTAGTACCTATCAGTCTGGGGACTTGACTAAGACGGATAAAGCAGTTGATGGAATTTTTGGGTTTGGCCAAGGGCAACTTTCTGTGATATCGCAATTGTCATCTCGAGGAATAACTCCCAGAGTGTTCTCACATTGTTTGAAAGGAGACGGAAATGGAGGGGGTATACTCGTTCTTGGTGAGATTCTGGAGCCGAGCATTGTTTATACTCCTCTTGTCCCATCGCAGTACGCCCCTGTCCTTTCTTCGCATGAGATTTTTGTGTTTAACTATAGTACAAAAAGTCTTACTTCAGCTGGATATCTACATGTTGAGTTTTCAGTCCTTTAACTAATTCCTAATTAAAATTTTCCAGGCCTCACTATAATTTAGATCTGCAGAGCATCTCTGTGAATGGGCAAATCTTGCCAATTGATCCTTCAGCATTTGCTACATCAAACAACCGAGGAACTATCGTCGACTCTGGAACAACTTTGGCTTATCTTGTTGAAGAAGCATATGATCCTTTTGTTAGTGCTGTAAGTATCTTCACTGGGGCATGTTACATTTCGTGGTTGGATGAAACAACAAATGAATCAACTTTCTAATTATTCAAAAGAAACGAGAGTAATGCAAAGCTGATTTTATTTTTGGATACGTAGGTGACTAATTCTGTTTCACAATCAGTGACTCCCATGATTTCAAAAGGAAACCAGTGCTTTGTAGTTCCTACCAGGTTTGTTTTGTTATATTTATATAGTCTATCCTCTAAACTTTCCCTTCACGAGGGACAAGGAAAAGTTGGCCATAGCATTTGTTGTGGATTTCTTATATTCTTGGAATCTAAAGTCATCCTTATGTCCATTTTCTTTCAGTATAAGTGACATTTTCCCCCCAGTTAGTCTAAATTTTGCGGGCAGTGCATCCATGGTGTTAAAACCTGAAGAGTACCTTACACATCAAGGTTTTGTGGTAAGTCTCTTCCGGTTTTCACTCGTTCAACTCCCTACTTTTTGCTCGAGTTTCTTGCAGAGTGATATGGTGTTGCTAAAGTATAGATGGGTCACTTTATTGTCACAGGGTGGTGCTGCTTTGTGGTGCATTGGATTTGTGAAAGTTCAGAATGGCGTTTCAATATTAGGAGGTGGGATAACGAATTATGCTTATCAGTTTCTTTTTCTGAATTAATTATTTTCAAATGAGAAAAAAACAGTACTGCTAGAGGCTTGTACGTTGTTTGTCATTTAAAATGAAAACGGAAAATGGCATTCAGAGCAAGGCTCATGTAACCCTTGTCAACTTCTACGTGCTAGATTGCAGAGTACTTGCGACTTATAACCTTATGCATTTAAGGGAAATATCTAGAAAAATCTCGAAACTTGTTTTTGCTTCCTTATATTTGATTATTTGTGCTTTGAATTGTTGACCGATATCTATAACAGTTTCTAATTTTGGCATGCATGGAATGTTACGGTTTCTGTCATAAGAATGATGGATGCGTCAGTTTATTAACTTCAAGTTATTGACATCACTGGTTTCTTCCTTTGCAGATCTTGTTTTAAAAGATAAGATATTTGTGTATGATTTAGCTCATCAACGGGTTGGATGGGCTAATTACGATTGTAAGTTGAACCACTAATCCACATATATTCCTCCTTTCCTTTCCCTTAAACTGTGGTCCAATGCCTATGATAAATTACATCTGAATTTCCATTTTCCAGGTTCAACGTCTGTAAATGTCTCCGTAACTTCTAGCAAAGACTTCATCAACGCGGGGCAGCTGAGTGTGAGCAGCTCATCAAGAGAGATGTTCTTCAAGATGTTACCGATAGGCTTTGTCGCTCTTCTATTGCTGCACACTGCGATATTCTCAGAATTCCAGTTTTTGTAACTTTAAAGCGTCAGGTTTACATTCCCATTCTTTCCAATCCGCCTATCGGCTTTGCCCGTCTTTATTTATCGCATTGGCGGGGCATTTATCTTTTTTTGTTTGGATTATTGCAAAGCACCAGGGGTTTACGGTTCCTCCGACTTCCAGCATAATTCTCCTGCTCCGCTTCTGATCTCTGATATTGCCAGAATCATAGGCTTAAACGTGTACAGGGCAGTTGGTACTAGTTTCAGTGTTTGTAACCATGTATTGTGGCCATTGGAAAAGCAAGGGCAAGGCCAAATTTGTAGTTAGATAAGAATATAGAGATATCTTGTGTTGTCCAGTTTAGCCGATCATTTTTGTAAAACCTATATTTAACTTAAAATCCCTTGTTTAAAGTAAGAGAATGTACTTTAATTGAGTAGTTTTATTTTAGAAATATTGTCCAGTGACACAAGTTATATTTTATGGCGAGCTTTAAAGTTTTAGGTAAAGAAACAAATGCCCTGTTTATTTCGCTGATTCGAGTTTAGAATTCGAGTTTTGTTACAGTGAAAAGCTCTCACAAACAATCACATCTAATTTTTTTGCTACAGTAAAAAACTCTCACATAAAATCACATCTCAATTTGAATTAAAAACTCGTATCAGCGAACTAAACGGGCTCAAAGAGTGTTAAGTGGTTCCTTAATGTAGAAGAAAAAGTTTTACTATCTGTACTATTTTTCTTCAGTTGTAAGCAGTATTCTCTGTTTTATCATTACACTAGTGAAAAGCTTTGTTGTTGTAGTTGGTTGTTTTTTTTTTTTTTTTTTTTTGAGTTTATAATAATATGGGTACATGATGCTGAACATTCATATTCTATACGAATGTGTGTGTATATATATATATATATATTTACGTTTTTCTTTGAAAAAATATTAACATTTTTGGTACTTAGAATTTGTAATCAATATGGAAAAATGAAGAGTGTCTTTATTTATTTATTTATTTTTGAGGTAAAAGGGGGGGTTTTCTTTTTAAATGAGCGCATAAATTTTAATTTTTATCCAGAAATTTTAATACCAACCTGTGGATATTTAGGATTGTTTATTCTTTTTAAAAATTGAAATCCTTAGGCTAATACTCTTCTTTTAAAATCAAAGAAAATCTCACTCGCTCTTTTGTCCTTTTTGCACAAAATTAGGTACGTATGAACACAAATTTTGAGTTTGAAACTTTTACGATGAAATTTAATCTGTAAGTATCAGTTGACATTGTAAGCTCATCAATAATATATAAAATTAAAAAACAAAAATAAATAATAAATAATGGTTTGTGATTATTATCTTATCTTAAAATTTAAACACTCGAAGATGATTAGGAATATATTTTAATGGTATCCTATTATAATCTTATCTTATAATTCCAAACTCTCTAGGAAATTTTTATGGGCACTTCTTTAGATTTCTCTCATCGTTTCTTTTGAGATGATTAGAGAAGAAACGCGATAGAGTTTAATATTTAAGACAATGAAAAGAAAAATGAATAAAACAAACATCAAAGAACAAAGCGAAGAAATAAGGAAATTTTGGCGGGGGAGAAGACTCGGGTAAGAGAGAGAGAGAGACACATTCATATTCTAGACGAATGTGTGTGTATATATATATATGTATATATATTTACGTTTTTCTTCGAAATAATATTAACATTTTTGATACTTAGAATTTGTAATCAATATGGAAAAATGAAGGGTGTCTTTATATATTTAATTATTTTTGCGGTAAAAGGAGGTTTTTTTTTTTTTTTTTTTTTTAAATGAGGGCATAAATTTTAATTTTTATCCAGAAATTTTAATACCAACTTGTGGATATTAAGGATTGTTTATTCTTTTTAAAAATTGAAATCCTTAGGCCAATACTCTTCTTTTAAAATTAGAGAAAATCTCGTTCGCACCTTTCTCCTTTTTGTACAAATTTAGGCACGTATGAACATAAATTTTGAGTTTAGAACTTTTACGATAAATTTAATCTGTAAGTATCAATTGACATTGTAAGCTCATCAATAATATATATAATTAAAAAATAAAAAAATAAAAAATAAATAATTAATGGTTTGTGATTATTATCTTATCTTAAAATTTAAACGCTCTAGGATGACTATGAATATCTTTTAAAGGTATGCTATTATAATCTTATCTTATAATTCCAAACTCTCTAGGAAATTTTTATGGGCACTTCTTTAGATTTCTCTCATCGTTTCTTAGTTTTGGGATGATTAGAGAAGAAACGCGATAGAATTTAATATTTAAGACAATGAAAAGAAAAATGAATAAAACAAACATCAAAGAACAAGGCGAAGAATATGGAAATTTTGGCAGGGGAGAAGACACGGGTAAGAGAGCGAGAGAAACATTCATATTCTATACGAATGTGTGTGTGTGTGTGTGTATATATATATATATATACACGTTTTTCTTCGAAATAATATTAACATTTTTGGTACTTGGAAGTTGTAATCAATATGGAAAAATGAAGGATGTCTTTATATATTAATTTATTTTTGATGTAAAAGGGGATTTTTTTTAAATGAGGGCATAAATTTTAATTTTTATCCAGAAATTTTAATACCAACCTGTGGATATTTAGGATTGTTTATTCTTTTTAAAAATTGAAATCCTTAGGCTAATACTCTTCTTTTAAAATCAGAGAAAATCTCGCTCGTTTTTTGTATTTTTTACATAAAATTAGGCACGTATGAACACAAATTTTGAGTTTTGAATTTTTACGATGAAATTTAATCTGTAAGTATCAGTTGACATTATAAGCTCATCAATAATATATAAAATTAAAAAACAAAAATAAATAAATAAATAATGGTTTGTGATTATTATCTTATTTTAAAATTCAAATGCTTTAGGATGACTAGGAATATCTTTTAATGGTATGTTATTATAATCTTATCTGATAATTCCAAACTTGATAGGAAATTTTTATGGGCACTTCTTTCGATTTCTCTTGTCGTTTCTTAGTTTTGGGATGATTAGTGAAGAAACGCGATAGAGTTTAATATTTAAGACAATGAAAAGAAAAATGAATAAAACAAACATCAAAGAAGAAGGCGAAGAAATAGGGAAATTTGAGGCTAAAAATCGATTTTTGGCTGTGAAAAGAAGCCGAGAGAATCTCCGTCCACCGAACAGAAACTTGTATATTGGAAGCCGTTTTTTAATTTTTAATTTTTAATTTAATTTTTATATAAGCTTTGAAACAGTCTTTACGGTTGGCTGGGTCCCACTTTCATTACCCGCCTCTCCCTCACTATAACTCTGTCACCCGCGCACTCATCAGTCCTCTCCCCTCCGTTTTCACGCACGTGCGACTTTCCTACCACGCGCCAACTCAAATACGTACCACCCATGATTTCCGAAAAAGAAATAAATAACAAAAATGAAAATTTTCGTTTGGATTTCTCTCGCGCAAAAAACGGAATTAAACCGGGTAATCCCTTGACCGTACGATATTACGTAATATTCGGCGTACGAAATTCAAAAAAATTCAAAGAAAATCAGGTTTATCATTTAGTTGTAGTAAACGCGGTTCTCGTGCGCGTGGGAACGGACGTACGCTTAAGAAATCAGTGTTGCGAACGGCCTTAACCTCCTCTAGTCTCTGTCCATGCAAAATCCTACCATCTTTCTCTCTCCCCCTTTCTCTCTCCTCCCTTTCTCTCTCTAAGATCAGAGTCTAATTCCTCGGAACCCAAATAAAAACAGCATTCTTCTCCTCTTCTCTTCTCATCTCTTCTCACTCATTCTTCATCACTCGAAACCCTAACTCTCTCTCTCTCTCTCTCTCTCTTCTCTTTCTCTCTCTATCTCTTCTTGAGATTGTAAATTGAGTCGCGGAGTACTGATCTTGGCCATTCTTGGCGAGCATTGTGTATCGATCGATCGGAACATTCTTTTGTGATTGATTGATTGTTTATCATCATAAATGGCGGTTGTTCCGACGGTGCCGGCCGCCATTTCCAGCTTCCATTCTTTGTACGTCGGCGACCTCCACCCGGACGTCAACGACAGCATGCTCTGGGATGCCTTCTCCGAGTTCAAGAGCGTTTCGTCCGTGAGAATCTGCAGAGACTCGAGAACCGATCGCTCTCTTTGCTATGGCTACATCAACTTCGGTAACCTCCAAGAAGGTAATATTCTTGTACTGTCTCATTGAAGAATAATGACGATCACTTTCTTTTCTTTCCTTTTTTACCTTTTCGTTTTGTTTTGTTTTTTCCTCATGCTGGTACGTGATACCTAGAAAATCTTAGGTGCAAGAATCGGAACTGCAATCTTGAATCTTGGCTTGGGTTAGGTTTTTTGGTTTTTTTGTTTTGTTTCTGATATGTTTTGACCTAATAGGGTGTTTGATCACTTGAATTGTGTTTGGAATCATGATAAACTTTTGTGTTAATCGATTAAATTTTGCTTAGGGTTCAATATTTGTGTTAATTCAACCTTGTTCGTTCGGTTACTAGAGTGCTTGATGATTAAGTGGGTTGGTATAGGATTCTGCTTTGTTTCCATCTTCAAAGAAAGAAAAGAAAAGAATTGAATACTATAGATGTTAGTTTCTTGAATTGTTTCATCAAACCTTTAGGTTCTTTAATACTTAATTATCCAAAAAGTTTCCGAGACTACTAACATTAATGTGGTGTGTTAAGTGGTGTCAATTGCAAATTTTACTGTATTAATTGTTCGAATTATTATTCACCAGTGATTTCTTTTTTTTCTTCCATTTGTCAGCAATTCGAGCTATAACGACAATGAATCACAGTACTGTTCATGGGAAACAGATAAGAGTCATGTGGTCAAATCGTGACCCTGATTCGAGAAATAGTGGACTCGGGAACGTGTTTGTGAAGGTAATTTTCTTATTGCTCAATTAATTGCTGGGCTTTTTTATTTTTTTTTGTGCGCGCGCACACCATAAATGTTAATTGTTTGCTAAAGAACCTGGAATGTTATTTGGCAGAACTTATGCGAGTCAATAGATAGTATGGGGCTGCGAGAGTTGTTCCAGAAATTTGGGTTCATTCGATCTTGCAAAGTGGCCACGTTTGAGGATGGGAAGAGCAGAGGCTACGGTTTTGTTCAATTCGAGACTGTGGAAGCTTCAAATGCTGCTATTCGGGAATTGAATGGACAAACTGTTGGAGACAAGCAGATGTATGTGCTGGGCAAACTTGGAATTTTTCTTGATCTTTCCCACAAAAAGACATTTTGCGTCAATAGTTGGTCGTATCAATTTCTATTAAGTATCTGATGTTTATTAATTATATATTCTACTATTCATGGGCCCAACAGATATGTGACGAACTTCGTCAGAAAGATGGATCGGATGTCTAATCCTGATGCCAAATACACAAATCTGTACGTTAAGAATTTGGACTCAGATGTCAGCCAAGAGCTTCTGGAGGAAAAGTTCGAGAAATTTGGGAAGATTATTAGCTTGGCTATTGCAAGGGATGAGAGTGGAGCGCCAAAAGGCTTTGGCTTTGTGAGTTTTGATAACCCTGATGATGCTAGACAAGCTCGGGAAGAAATGAATGGAACCCAACTCGGTAGGTTGCTTATATTTTTACTATAATTAATAAATTGCATCTGATTTCGCGTCTTTGGTTAACTCTGTTTTCTGTTATGTCTTTTCTCGGACAGGCTCCCGGGTTCTGTATGTAGCAAGGGCTCAGACGAAGTCCGAGCGTAAGCAAATCCTTCGTCGTGAGTATGAGGAGAAACGCAAGGAGCAAATTCTAAAATACAAGGTAATTTACTTGTTTTATAATTCTCTGCCCTGGTTTCAATTCATACTTTTTCGTTTAACATTTCCCACTCTGTTTGATAACAACAGAACTCAAACGTGTACTTGAAGAATATCGATGAGGATGTCACCGACGAAGAGCTGAGAGAACATTTCACTCAATGTGGTGCTGTCACTTCTGCAAAAATTATGCGAGATGACAAAGGAATAAGCAAGGGTTTTGGATTCATTTGCTTCTCTACACCCGAGGAGGCCTCTAAAGCTGTGAACACTTTCCATGGTAAGAAGATTTCCATACGTATGATGTTTTTAGAAAGTAGAGCTTTAAATGTAGTAGCCTCTGTCAGTTCTAGCTTGGCAATTTTCATACTGAAAGAATCATTAAGTTCAAGATCTCTTGGGGTTGTACTTTTCCACTTTCCCTGTAGATGGTACTTCGTTCGTGTATGATTTTTCTAATTTTGTACCCTTTAATCTGATAGGAGTTATGTTTCATCGGAAACCATTATACGTGGCTATCGCTCAGAGGAAGGAGGAAAGAAAAGCACAACTACAGCTTCAGCATTCACAGCGTATGCCTACAGGACCATCAGGACCTTCATCTCCTCTTATCCCTGGAGGATATTCTCCTTTCTACTACCCAGCTTCTTCTGTTCCACATGTGCCTCCTCGGCCAGGGTTAATGTATCAATCTATAGGGATGAGGCCAGACTGGATGGCTAACAGCTTTGCTCCCCCAACCAGACCAGCCTTCCAACCATCACCAGTCCCTGTAAGTACCCTTTGTAAAGTACCTAATTGGCTTATGAACTTAATAAGCCCATCCATATTTCTACTAGTTTTGTTGCCTCACATCAAGTTCTTGACGTGCAGATGCCAAATGCTCCAAGACCAAACAGGCAAAACAGAGGCAGGGTGAATGGGCATATGCTTCCAAATGTGCAACACTTGCAACAGCCTGCGAACTTTTCAAAAGATTCAATCAATCACCAGGTATCGCTTTCTTTCCTTTACCGTTGTGCTAAGTACTCATTATGGCAGAGATTTTCTAATTTCTTGCTTCCATGTATTGCAGCGCGCTGGACAAACAAAATACATACCGAATGGGCGTCAACGGGAGATAAATAGAGGACCATCTTGTGTCTCATCTGCTGCTTCCAATTCTTTTGGAGTTGGGTCTCCTGGGCCAGAGACGTTGAGTAGCATGCTCGCTGCTGCCACTCCTGGGCATCAGAAACACATACTTGGAGAGCATCTGTATCCACTTGTCCAAAAACACAAGGTAAAATTTGTAAACTTAGTATTTTAGCGTAACATTTTGATCCCTCTTCATTTTCAAGCCACATTTGAGAAAGTCTATGACCCTTTGTACTTAATCATACGAACCACTTTCTAGATGTAGTTATATCTCTCCGTGGAGGTTATATCATATCAACCCTTAATATCTTTTTTTCTTTGTGGTGTTTTTTTGTTGTTGTTGCTCTTACGATCACATTCAACACCATAATCATAACATTTTCCTCTGCAGCCCGAACTCACCGCGAAGATTACGGGGATGCTTCTGGAGATGGACAATTCAGAGTTGCTGCTTTTGTTGGAGTCGCCCGACTCTTTGGCTGCCAAAGTCGACGAAGCTGTGGAGGTGCTCAAGATCTCGAATGCCAAAGTACCAGGGCAAGATGCTCTTCATCCCAATTACCTGTCTGCTGAGGTTGCAGTCAACTGAAACGCTAACTTCGATTGATACTTCTTGTGTTAGAGCTGGTTTGATGGGCGTCTCATGCTCCGGGAGGGAAGGATTTTTTTATCATTTTCATGAGCAAACTTACTAGAGTGTGTCTGCGGTCTCTCTCCTTGGCTTGTTTTGTTTCTCTTTAAAGCATGGTATGCATTAACAGAGACATATCAGCTTATCGTAGTAGTAGTTTTTTTAGGATTTGTCAGAAGATATGCTTTTCGAACCAACTTCTTTGAACTTTTTCTTTTGGTTGAATGTAGTTCTCTAATTGAGCTTTTAATTCGTGGAATAAACTCTTATACACAATTCATCGACCATGTTACCATTGTTATTATGGTATGCTAGAATTCTTGGAGACAACCTTGACTATCTTCACATGGTCTACTTTTTTTTTTATTTTTTATTTTTATTTTTTATCTTAAACATAGAAAAATATTGATTTTATCATTAGACATGTTAAAATATAACACTCACAATAATGCATCCTATATATTTTCGTAGATATTCTCCATTTAAACATTAAATAAAACTGAAACTTGTGGTTTGGCACTGGCTGTAATTCCTAAATATTTTCACCAAACCACAAGTGAGACAAAAAGGGATATATATATATATATATATATATTTTACGGTTGAAAATTTTATACAAACGATCGTACTAAACCACACCAATATTATATAATGTGCGTTGTGCAATTTAAATAGACCCAACAAAAGTTAGCACATTTATATTAATATGTACTTTTAATATGTATTCCTAAAAATAATCGCATCATATGACAATAAAACACAACCATAATAAAGGTCACTAGTTTCCACATGTAAGTGCATTTTTTTCCCCTTCCAAATATATGTTGTTACTTTATACACTGAAATAATTTTCTCCAAAATACTCTTAATCAAACATTTTTCTACTTCTCATATGAACACACTAATTAATTTTCTATTTGATTTTTTAAATATGTTTTTATATTTAAAAAAAACTACTACTAAAATAATTACTCTTAAATATACCCTTAGTCAAACATCTGTCCATATGTACATCCTAATTACTTTTCTATTTGATTTTATGTTCTATAATATAAATTATTTGCATAATACCATATAATATTATTTTACTTCTAATTTAAAATAAGTTAACGCAATCACCATTTGAAGTAATTTTAACTTGAATCATCTAAAAATATAATTGTTTTTTTATTTCTATTTTAATTTGTTAATTAAGAGTTCGATAGAAGCTCCTGATAGATTATACTATCACACTTATTTAAGATATTTTTTTATAAATATATTGTACATTAAATTTATAAAAATGAATTTTTTAAAATTAAATCTAAAATAATTAACACTAAATTGTAAATAAAATTTTTACTATATATGTAATAAAGCTTTTAATAGGATTTTAGGCACGCTAACAAACTAGTCTAACTAAAATAAAAGTGTCTCTCCTTGTGGTGCTAATATGTGGCGTGACGTTTCGTTCCCGTTTTATTTATTTTTCTTTTTTCTTACTTTTGTTTTGTTTTTAGATTTACATACTTGTTCTCTATTGATGTTAATTCTCATTTTTCTACTGCTTTCACATATATTTTCAAATCCGATTCGTTAAAGTTTTTTCTCTTTTAATTTCTCAATAAATACATATATATATATATATTTACAAATACCTCCTCATTTAAGTAGTTTTTTTTTTTTTGTTGTTTTGTTTTGTTTTGTTTTGTTTTATAATCTACAAAATCTCATAGGTAAACCATAATTAGTTTTCTATTTGATTTGTTTTAAAATATGCTTTATATTTTAAAAAAATACTATTACTAAAATAATTATACTCAAATATGTATTTACGTAAATATCTTTTTCTTTTCTACCGGTTCATACTAATTAATTTTCTATTTGATTTGTCGGGATCAACATATTCCTTTTAACAAGTTAATTTATATTTATAAAAATATAGCATGTTTATATTAATACATCTATGTTTAAAATCTATTTTTTAAATGCAATTTATTGAAAATTATATAGTGGACGTTTGGTTCATGGATTCAGAATCATGATTTGAACCATTTTCAATTTACGTGTATTTTTTGTGGGAAAACATACTGTAACGAACCATGAATCATGATTTAAATCATGACACGAATACAACAACTAAACACACTCATATTTATTTAGGCTTTTTCTGTAAACCTCCACTATTTTTGTGGGGGAGATTTCCCCGTTAACATTGAACACGCGGGGGTCATGGGATGGACAAAGAACCAGTATTTGCGAGTGACTTTGACCTTTTCACATTTTCTAATAAAAAAATTGTATTAATTAATCTTTGTGGAGGACAATTTGGTAATATGAGCAGAGTAATTTAGTAGACATTTGGTTAATGGATTCAGAATCATGATTCTGAACCATTCTCGATTTATGTGTGTTTTGTATGAGAGAAAATACTGTAACGAACTATGAACAATGACTCAAATCATGACACGAATACACTACGTGTGTTTCTTCTATTTTTATGAATGTCTTGAGAGGGTAAAAAAGTAAAATTGTTTTATCAACTGTTAAAAATTGGTTTCTTCAATTGTAGAAGTGACTATGAGTAACGTAATACCAATGCGGTGAATCGTAACGATTAGATGAGATTGTATTTTAGGAATGTGGTGTCGTTTTTGAGTAGGTGTCACAAACACTCTGCAGAGCAAGGAATTTCGACGAAGCCATGGCATTTCAGATCCAATTGCTTTTTATTCGAATGATGAAGGTGAAATTCACGTTCAACAAGAAGATGTGTTGAGACTTTTGGGGGAAAAAATTCTAGCTCTGGTTCCAATTCTCAGAAATCTAATATTATTGAAAATGGTGATACTGAATCTGAACATAGAAAAAGATAGGAACTGAAGAACTAGATGCTTCTAATGGTAGAAACTGAGAATTGCAGTTTCAAACGGTTTGATAATTGAAATTGCACAAATGGGCAGGTAATGCTAAAGAGCCTTCGTATATTTCAGAATCCTTGTTAAGGAAAATATGGGATCTTAGGAGTAAAGTGATCATTGACTTTTATGTATATCATTTATTTGATTCTTTCTCTTGTAATATGAGATAGAATAGGAAATGTAGTCTGAATAGAGCAGACTTTTAGGATCATTCTTCTGTATATATATATTTCCCATTATCACTTAATGGACATTAAGCTTTTAACAGCAACTAAATTATTATGGCATCAGAGCGTTGAAAATCACCTTACAGAATAGTGTAAAAAAAATAAAAATAAACAAACTAGGCGTCATACTTTTCACCGCCAGCTTCCATGGCAAAGAATGACGAGAGAACATCGGAGAAAGATGAAGCGTCTAAGCTTCATGTAAACAAGTATGAAGATCCAAGCGATCCCTTCTATCTTCATCACTCGGATCAACCAGGTTTGGTCTTTGTGACTCAAATATTGACACAAGAAAACTATCTCAACTGGAGCCATGCCATGCTCATGGCTCTCATCACCAAAAACAAAGATGGCTTCATCGATGGTACTATTACCAAACCTCTCTCTGGATCAGCAAGGGAAATTAAGCAGTGGACTCGCTGCAACCTTCTTGTTAAGGTATGGATTCTCAACACCATCTCACTTAACATTGCACAAAGTGTGATGTACAACGACAGTGCTTTGGAGCTTTGAAACGAATTGAAGGAGCTCTTTTCTCACACCAACAATGTGCATCTCTTCCATATTGATCAAGAGATTCATGGTTGTGTACAAGGAGGCATGAACATTGGCGAATACTACACCAAACTGAAGGGCTTATGGGATACACGAGATGTGTTATGTCCTCTTCCACCTTGTGATAGTGAAATGACAAAGAAGTTACAAGAGTATCAACAAAAGCAGCGGACCATAAGATTTCTCATGGGACTTGACGGAACCTATATGACAGCTCGTGGATAGATTTTAATCATAGAGCCTTTGCCTGTAATGAACAAGGTATTCTCCCTTATTATTCAAGATGAAAAACAACGTGTCATTTCTTCGCAGATGATGGGAAAGACACCAGATGCCGCTACGTTCGCTGTCAAGGACGAATCACAAAAGTCAAATAGAAACCATATGCAAAGGAATGCACATCTCAAGTGCGATCACTGCAATATCACGGGACACTCCACCGAAAATTACCAGGCACATCTCAAGTGTGATTACTGTGGTTTCAGGGGCCACACTATTGATGTTTGTTAAAAATTAAAAAGGGCCACTTCAGACAAAAAGGGAAACTCGAGCTTTTCTTCCAAGGCTCACTATGCAGATTCCAAACTGAATAATGCTACAGCACTGCCATCATTCTACAGCCTTACAACAGAACAATATCATGATCTAATGGCCCTTATTGATAGGACCAAATCAGGTAGCATCGCTAATCAAGTGAGTTCAGCCCCAATAGTAAGCAGTGATTCAGGTACTGCAACTCGTGCATATGATTTTGATTCAGAGACCAATTGGATCTTTGACACAAGGCCAACCGACCATATGGTCTGCTCATCTAATTTGATGACTACCAGTACACTTGTTACCAATCGTTATGTGCATTTACCAAATCATGCTCTTGCCTGTGTAACACATATAGGCACCATACGGTTTTCTGACAAACTCATACTCCATAATGTGTTGTGTGTTCCAACTTTCAAATTAAATTTAATATTAGTGGCTAGTCTTGCTAAGACTGCCTCCTGTGTTGCAACCTTCACCAAAAACCTTTGTTTTGTTCAGGACAAATATTCGGGGAAGACGATTGGGACGGGAACTGAGCGAAAATGACTCTACTACCTGAATATCAAGAAGAATGCTGGGTGTTGCTCCATTTCAACCGCGGGTCACCACTAGTTCCCACCTTTGGCAGCAACGTCTTGGCCACCTTTCAAATAAAAGTCTGCAATCTCTGTCATTATTTAATAAGACCATACATTTTTGTTCTATTGATGATTGTTCCATTTGTCCTCTTGCCAAA